GTAGCTTGCACTGGAGCTCTTGGTGAGAAAGCTAAGAACCAGCCCAGAGGAATCCCGATTCTCTCTGCACTGGGGATGGGCACCAGACACCCAGAAATTCGGTCTTTCGTATTCTATTGTTATGATCAGGATCTCCCAGGGTCGGCATCTGAGAGAAGGGGACCCAGGAGGGGGAAACTGGGGGTGTGCTGAGCACTTCTTGAGAGAAAAAATGCCCAGAAGGGCTGGCTTGTCAGGCACAGGGAAAGGTGGGGCAGGTGGGCCGGCCACCCATTTGCATTGTCCCAGAGCCTGCCGGGTCAGTGGGGGAGGCCTGGGCAGTGAGCCTGCAGGGGACCGTGACGAGGGAGAGGTGGTGGAAACACGGCCCCGAGCCCTGAGTGCCACGGAACTCCCCGTGTCGGCACTCAGGTGCGGGCTGTGCAGAGAACTCGCCTCCCAGGTGTGGGCGCTCAGTGTGAGCTTGGCCAGGGCCACCTGTTGAGGACTGCAGGTGGGGAAACAGCAATGCGGCTCGGGGCCTCTTGCCTCAGTTTCCCAACCGGGACACCGTGCCCGGGAGGCCTGGCTCAAGCCTGCTCTCCCCAAACACCACACAGGTCCGGACAGTGGCCTTCGCACTCTCTGGCTCCAAAGCATCCTCTTGTCCTCACCCTCTCCGGGGGTGCCCCTGTGACCCTGCGCACCCCCAGCCCTGGCACAGAGAGATCTGTTGGGCTCAGTGAGGGCACTCAGCATGCAGAATAAACACCAGTGCTGCGCGGGCTTACTAGGGCAGGCGGGGAGCTCCAGAAACACTCTCCTGCCTAACTCGCGGCGCTGGGTTCTTCCAGCAGCCAGAGTAAGGCCTGGAGAAAAGACACCGGGTCTGCGCTGCGCGGTGCCTGCTCTGGGCCTCTGCGTGAGTGCCAGACAGACAGACAGGCAGAGCTACAGTTTGCTGGCTCTGGGGTTGAATACCCTGTAGCCTACGCCGTGCCTCGGGCCGGAGACGCCCCACTGGCGGCCGCCTTGGTTTAATGCACATAGAACCGTGAGAAACAGTCCCATATGTGAGGTCTGGGATTTTTTTTTATTATTATTCTATTCAGTCTTTGTATATTCAGATTCTTCCAGTTCCAGCTCTTGTTGTTCTGCCAGATTTCCACCGCATTGAAGGCTTCTCTGAATTAATAAGTGTTTTGCAATCACTGAAAAGTTTCTCGCCCCCACCCAGCACCGGGACTTATCCATATTGATTTTTCCTTTCTTTCTCTTCTTTCCTCTCATCGCTGCTTCTTAGATGTTTTGTTTGGGTAAAGTGTTAATAGAATCTTTCTTTCTCCCCATCCACTTTATCCATTCAGGAGGTCTGTGCGAGCCCCATTGTGTGGCCAGCCGGACCAGACCCCAGAGGGGAGGGCGCTGCTCTTCAGGGCTCTCCCCCTCGCCCCCCCTCCCCCCGGCCCTGCTCACACTACAGACAGCATCGGAGAACATCCAGACCTCAGCAGGAAAAGAGGGGGCCCAGTCCCACGCTGTTCAGAGGGGTTTGGGGTTGAAAATATATCCCTTTGAGAATGCCCTGCCACAGAGGCAGGGTGGGATGGGGGATGGGGGGTGGGAGGGATACTGGGATCCGCGGTGGTGGAAAATGAGCACTGGTGGAGGGATAGGTCCTCGATCATTGTATAATTGAAACCCAAGCACAAAAATTTGTGAGTCTACAACTGTACCTCATGGTGTTTCACTAATAAAAATTAAAATATATATATATCCCTTTGATGCAAAATATTTATTTCCTAAGGGGATCTGAGCTTCCGTACCCAAACACAGTACCCGGCATGGAAGGGAGGCTGTTTTGCTTATCGTTGGGCATTTGTAGCTCAGAATAAGGCCTTGGCAGGCAGCTCGGAAAATGTGGAGACGGGTGTGAAGCAGCTGCCACGCTTACCTGCGCGACACCCCACAGCCACGTCCCCACCTGCCCCCACCCCTGATCTAGAACACCTGCTGGGCACTGTCTGAGAGCATGGTACCAGTGCTCACGTGTGAGTGCTCTGTGTACAAACAAACCAGTTGGTCTTGTGGCGGTTTTGCTCAAATGGTGTCAAGGGGATGTGGGGGGACATCCTCAGTATGTGTCTCTCTGCCCAGGAGGGTTTCCCAACTGTCCCAGACTAGTTCCCCTCCTCCCATCAGCCTGGTGCCTAGGAGGGCAGCCACCTCCTGGAGGGGCAGCCCCCCCCCCCCCCACACACACACAAGGCCATTGTGTTCTCCTCAGTGACCAGCTCCAGAGAGGGGGACAAGAAGGGGGAAAAACCTGGGCTCCTGTTTGTTCCGGCTCAGTTGCCTAGCAACAGAGGGGGCCCAGGCTCCAGGGGGGACTTTTAAGCCAGGCCAGCGCCATCCCTGCCCCCCCCTTCCATTCTTGCCCTGACTTTTCTCTCCCCACCCCCACTTCCCATTATCTTTCAAAAATAGATTTGATTTGTCTGGAGGCCGCATTTCCAGTCTTGTTTGATTGTGTCTCCCAGTATGGTCCCAGGGGAGAGGCTGGTCTGGGAGGGGTATGGCGTGGAAAGCCCACAGCTTACTTAGCTCAGCGTCCCCGAGGTGAGCTTGCAGGAAAACCCTTTCCCCGGACAGCACCCATCACCACTGCCAGTCCTGAGCCTTTGGGGTGTTTTCACTGACCCCCCCCCTTCGGGTCCAGAATGAAAACTGAGGGACTAGGCAGTTCTACCTGCACCAAGCAAGGGTGCATTTTGTGGAACAAATAAAGGATTAGATGGCAAATGAAAGGGCACGGAATTCAAAACCAGTCAAGTGGGCATTTCCTGACCAGCTCTAGGGGCTTTGAGCAGACCCTCAGGTTTGGAGAAATGCAGCCAGGTTGCAGGGAGCGTGGGTATGGGGTGGGGTGTGGCTCCAACAAAAGGAGACAGGCTGCCTGGGTGTCTGGGCTCTCCCCTGGGGCTTCTGGGCTGAGGAGCATAGGTGGTGGGTGATGCAGGCCACAGAGGCACCTGCTCCCCGTCCCCGGGCTGGGGTCCAGATGGAGGTGTTGGCAGGGCTGGTTTCTGCTGGGACTCCTCCTGGGCTTGCAGGCAGCCGTCTTCTCCCTGGTCTTCCCTCTGTTTCTCTGTTCCCACAGGCCTCCAGCTTCCTTCTCCTTGTGAAAACTTGACTCTACTAGGTCTGACTCCTCCAGTGGCATCCTTGGAAGGTGGCTGGGGGCTGTCTCAGGCTGCACTTTGCATTTTCAAAGACTGGGGGGCTAGCTCCTGAAAGTGCGTATTTGGGGTTCAAACTCATTAAGTATGATGGTGCCTCTGTTAATAACGGAAATTTAAATATAAGTAGCCATTAGAGGGATGACTGGGTAAGCCAGAGCTTCTCATTTCCTGAAATACTATGCAGCTGTGAAGATAGTATTCATTATACCACATACCCATTAGGAAGACCGTGATTTTAAAAAGCGCCATTGTGCTCTTGCGCGCACTCTCTCTCACTTTCTCTCTCCTCTCTCTGTATATATATTTATGTGTGTGTGTGTGTGTGTATACACACACACATATATCTATCCAGGATGTCAAGAATTTGGAACATTTGTGCATTGTCAGTAGGGATGCAAATAGAACAGGCTGCTATTTTAAAACATTATTTCAAGTCCTCATAAAATTAAAAATAGAATTACCATGTAATTTAACAATCCCTTGTATTTCACCAAAGGCATTGAGAGTCGGGACTTGGAGTCACTTCTGTACCCACATGCCTAGTAGCAGTATCAGCTCACCCAGTGTCCATTAGTGGGTGAATGTAAAGCAAAAGGTGCTGTATCTGTGCAACAGAATATTATTCAGCCCTAAAGAGAAGGGAAAACAAGGCATTTGTTACATGAAAACAGACCTCGAGGATATTACACTAATTGAAATAAGCCAGTCAACAAAAGTCTATTCCTTTGTATTTCTGCTTATATGAAATCATCAGACATCAGCAAATCTCAGAAAAATGGAAATGATGATTGCCAGGGGCAGAGGAGAGGAGGCTAACAGGGAATTACTATTGTTTAATGAGTGGTATTTTAGGTTTGGGGGAGGGGCAATCATGTCCAGCAGTGTCAGGGGGCTGCTTCTGTGCTCAGAAGTTGCTCCCGGGATGCTCCGGGGAGCACTCAGTGCCGGGACGAGACTAAGGTCAGCTGTACAGCTGCCTTCCTCCCTAGACTTTCTCTCCAGTGCTAGTTTCAGTTTGGGGTTGTTGGTTGTTTGGGTTGGGTTGGGTTTGTGAGTCACATCCAGCTGCTCAGGGCTTACTCCTGGCTCTGAGCTCAGGGGTCACTTCTGGTGGGCTCTGAGCACTTTATGGATGGTGGGGCTCAAACCCCAGTCTACCGTGTGCAAGGCAAGTGCTCTGTCCCCTGTACTATTGCTCGGCCCCTAGCATTTCAGTTTTACAAGATATTTACAGGGATGGAGGGCAGGTAGGGTTAAAAAAAACAAAAGCGTTCATGATGTCAATTGCTTGCATGATTATGAAGTCACATACATGAAGAAAAGAACAAGGGATGCTTTTGTGTGTGTGATGGGATTTAAATTACATTAAAGCAGGCATAATTTTTAAAATTTATTATTATTGCTTTTGGGGTCACACCAGCAATTCTCAGGGCTTACTCCTGACTCTGTACTCAGGAATTTCTCTTGGTCAAGCTCGGGGGACCATATGGGATGCCAGGGATAGAACCTGGGTTGGCTGCTTGCAAGGCAAATGCCCTACCCGCTGTACTATCACTCTGGCCCAAGCATGGATTTTTAAAACAACAACAACAAGCCGTAAAATACACCACATTAATTGGTTTTACTAGATGGAGACAGGCAAATCTTCTTTGCTTCCCAGTGGTCTGTAATTTCCAGGGGCTTTTAATGAGCAACTATAACTTATAGAAGCCATGATGACACTGTTTCCCGTGTTTGGTCCCGATTCCTAAAGCAGCTGCTGTTCTCTCTGTTTTGCAGGTGGAGGACGCAATGCTGATGTTTGACAAGACGACCAATAGGCACAGAGGTAAGGCTCACGCCGCGCGTGTGAAGGCCATGCTGGCCTCCCCTCCTTCACTTCCGCCCCCCAGGTAGACTGACTATGCCAGGGTCAGGTGGGCAGAGAGGACCCTCAGTATGAGAGTGGAGTGACAGGCACACGGAGTCGAGCTGCCTGGCTGTTAGTGGGGGTTTCAGCTGGGGGATTCTCGTGGAATGAAGCCGCCACACCCAGATGTCCTTCCCGGGGAATCCCGCCTCCCTCCGTCCTTGCTAACCCTCAGCATGGAGGGAATCCGAGTGGAAATCATTCATCGCAGTTACTTTGTCGAGTTCTCTTGCGGGTGCTGGTTTAGCAGCGACTGTCGATAGGAAGAGTGGGAAGGGGTGGGGATGGCGGGGGAACCACCATGTGTGGTGGGATTTATCCTGCTGGTACAAGAGTCTCGGGCTTGGAAATGCCTGCAGTTGCTCTGGACGGCTCACAGGGCACCTGCCCTTCTTCCTTCTGTGGTTTATTTTTTTTTAATTTTTATTTTATTTTATTTCTTGTTGCGTCACACCCAGCGGTACACAGGGATTACTCCTGGCTCAGCTCTCAGGAATGACTTCTGGACATGTTCAGAGGACCATATGGGATGCTGGGAATTGAACCCGGGTCAGCCGCGTGCAAGGCAAATGCCCTACCTGCTGTACTATTGCTCCAACAGCCCTTCCCCCCCACACACACACCTCCCATCCTCCTGTGGTTTAGAAGGTGTCTGTCAGCTGGGGTCTATGAGCCCTCAAAAGGAAGCCCAAAACGTTTTGTGCTTATTTCATTTTATGTGTGTGTGTGTGTGTGTGTGTGTGTGTGTGTGTGTTGTGGGTTTGGGTGGGGGTGGGGGACACACCTGGTGGTGCTCAGGACTTCCTCTGCTCTGCACTCAGAGTTCACTCCTGGCAGGGCTCGGGGGATTCTCTGTGGTATCGGGGATTGAATCCGGGACCCAAGTGCCTCACCCATTGTGCTATCACTCCAGCTCCACCCAAAGTGTTTTGTATGTGTCCTTTTCTCAGGAGCAAATAATTGGCTTTGAACAGATTCTCGGAGATTCTCTGATGTCCACCTCCCCGCTGACCCCAGGAGCAGAAAGAGAAGAATGTATTGAAATTGTTGCTTTAGATAGAAAGCCCGATGAATCTCGAAAATCTTCCCCAAAGGGCGCAGCCAGAGGTTATGACAGCGTTCCATTCTCCTGGCTTCCGGAAGCCCCTGGCTTCTGGGGTTCCTCTTCATGGGGCGCTAATGAGTGGGGCTTCCGAAAGGGGGTGGCAGGAAGGAAGCAGCGTTTTCGAGAGAAGGAGCGGGAGGCAGCCTGTTCCCTCGCCACCGGGATTGCATTGCGATGTTTCTCGTGTTGTTTACATTCTTGCTGTCACCTGTGATTAGAAGCAGTTACGCGCTGACTGTCTTTTGTGGGGAGCCCGGCTGACTGGGGAAAGGGAGGACTGTAGAGGGAGCTGTGGTTCACCGAAGTGGGAGGAGGAGGAGGAGGAGGAGGAGGAGGAGGAGGAAGAGGAGGAAGAGAAGGAAGAGGAGGATGAGGAACAGAAGCAGGACCTGTGTGCCGGACACTTGTACTTCTGGAGCATGGAAACGTGGCAGGAGTCCAGGCTGGGAGGGAGCCGAGAGGGAGAGCGGACAGTGAGGGGCTGAGAGGGAAAGGCAGAGGGAGGAGGAGCGAGCTGCTCTGTGCCGGAGCTACTCACAGTGTCCTGGGCCGAGTGGTAGAGGACAGTGACGTGGCCATCCACCCTCTCACCCTCTATACCACACCCACCCACCGCTTCCCCAAGCACCACCGCCCCGGGCATGGAGTCGCCACACCTTACAGCTGCCCCAGGAGATCAGGGGTGACCCCAGGAGAGTCGTTGAGCTTCTTTGAGCCTCTGTTTATCTGGCTGTAAGATGGGCACGAGACCAGTACCTTCCCGCAGGGTGGTCTAGGGATTGGGCATGTCACAAAAAGACCAAACTGCAGGAACCAGGCAGGCAGTGCTGCCCCCAGGGCTGCAGGCTTGGAACCCTCTGCAGGGTGCTGCTGCGTTAGAAGCATCCTTTGGGGGCTGAATGTGCGGCCCCGGGCCCTGGAACCAGAAGGAGTGTATCTTTTCAGGGTGGGTATGGCCCTCGTGTTCATTTATGGTCGGTGCTCAAGCTTTTCCCGGCTCAACGAGACATCGGGTCACTGGGAGGACACGGGAGGCAGACGCAGGAGGTCAGGGGTTACTCCAGGAGAGTTGCTGAGCTTCTTTGAGCCTCTTCTTTGGGGCTCTTCTTTGAGCCTCTCCTGGTACAGCCCCCGGGAGGCGCCACGGAGCTTCTCCCCCTCTCTCCTCCAGATGCCTTCTGCCCCGAGCAAGCCTGCGACGGGTGGGTGGCTGCAGGCTGTGTCCCTAATCCCTGAAGCCAGAGTACAATGGCACTGCGGCCCCTTCTCTGAGAGCTCAGACCGGCTGGAAGGGACAGCAGAGCATTCAGCCCAGACATGGGCTCTCAGCACGGGTTGCCTGCCAGGCGGCCGACAGTGGGGGCAGCCTGTTGGGGTCAAGGGAGCTAGCGCAGACCAGCTCCGCAGCCAGGCCTGGGCCCCTGCCCTCCCACCCCCATCCCAATCCGGTTCAGAAGCCCGTTCCCTTGGGTGCTGGGTGTACGTGGGTGCTGTGGCGCTCACACTCGCTGCCAACCCTCCAAACTGCCGCCCCGCGTTTCTCTTTGAGCGTGGTGCCAGAGTGGGGGTGATGCGGGAGTGGTTCTGAACGTGGCAGGGAGGGAAGGGTTTCCAAACAGACGAGCCCGCCACAGCCACGGCACAGACCCCAGGGAAGGAGCGAGCAGCCCGGCTCTGGTTCGTGCATGAGCACAGGACCCAGAACCCCGTGTCCATCTCCCCCGCCTTCCTGCCCCCTCCTCAGCTTCCCACTGGCCTCGATCTTATCCCCCAGGAAGCGCTTTTGCAGCAGAAGGCAAGGACCCGACCCCTCTCCTTCCAACTGGCCCTGCCTCCACTTCCCTTCCCGGGGAGACCCAGCCTGCCCTCTTGTTCCTACAGTACCCGCTTTCCCCACGCACTTCTCACACCTCTGACCCAGACCTGGGGTTAACCTGGGCAGCAGGCTCGTCCTGGGACCGTTTCAGCTGCGAGTCTGGGAGCCTTGGGGTATACCCTGCCCCGCCCTCAGATCCAGAGTTCTTTGAGGACGGTGGTCAGGGGAGCACCGACCGCAACCCCTCTTCCCATGTTCCCTGTGTCCTCCCTACACTGCACCAGGAGACAAAATCTCAGGAGTGCCCCTCCCTGCTCCCCCACCACCTCTGGGGGGATCCCAGGTCTGGAGCACCCGACTTACACAGATGCAGACCCCACCCCTCAGATACCCCATGTCCCCAAAAGGCACAGACGCTGGCAGGAGCGCTGGGGGTGTTCAATGGAGAGCACATCCGACGTGCATTCCTCCTCTCCGGCCATCCGTTAGCCATAGCGGCTTCTCAAGACGGTGATTCGCTGGCAGCAGGCACCTTGGGGTGCTGCATGAGGGTGGACCCACATGGCCCTTGATAGTGGGAACGGGAGAGGCCGATTTGCTGTCCTGGTCAGAGTGAGCGGCTCATGGACCTTGGTTCTTGGAGCACAGAGTCCCCTGAGGCTGGCCCAGAGGAAGCCCTGGAGAGGGTCGGAGTCTGGGGACCCCCCACCCCCACCCCGGGGACCTCCAGGGCCACATACCAGATCCTGCTAACAAGACTGTGTCAATAGCACACCAGGGAGTGCCCCCGCTTTCTGAACACCCCAAGTACCTCCCATAAGTGCTTCAGGCTCCAGCTGCAGCTGCCTTTTCTGCAGAAAGCTGAGGGCTTGCATCTTGGTCCAGCTGACCCAGAGCCAGGCTGGAGCTTTGAACCTGAGGGTCAGTGACTCTTAAGGCCGGGGGGGTAAGGGAGGCTTATCCACACATATACACCTCCTGTCCTGGACACTGGGACTCGGGAAACTCCTGGCTGTCCCTGAGCCCCACTTCTCACCTCAGTCCCAGGCCTTGTGTGGGATGTCTTGTTTTGGGCGGGCGGGGGTGGGGGGGACGGGCAGCCTTCCAGTCACTGCTCCCCAAACCTTGCGTGTGGTGGGGAGTGCAGGGTGGTCTGAGAAATTTGATGGCCTGGTCATCAAAGGGCTTAATTATGGAAGAAAAGTTGCTCTTGCTCCTATCTTTGCAACACCCCCATGACATACAGTCTTGAATTCAGTATTAGGTATTGACCCTGGGGTGGGGGTGAGCCTAGGTTGGGGGGCCCGTGGGAGGGCAGGGAGTCAGTAGACGTGCTCTGGCTGGTGGGAAGCAGGGAGGGGTAGAGGGACCCCAGCCTCCCCTCCTCACTCCCCGGCACAGCCCTGCGAGGAGCTGACCTGATGTGCACATGAGCTCAGACTGAGACCCACCTCACACTCCCTCCCGGTGGGAGAGGGGACTCCCCCTCCCAACCCAGTGTGTCACACTGGGGCCGCCTCTGCTGTCCTTCCCCTCGACCCAGGGCTCTGGTTCATGACCCGGCTCTGCGGGGCCCCTCTGCAGCTGGCCATCTGGGGAGAGCTGGGTGGCCGGGGCCCCGTGGGGGCCGAGTGGGGTGTCTTTGAAGCTGATGGGACGGCCTGGGGAGGTGCTGGTTTCTGGAGGCCAGGAGGCAGCCGTCCACTCCCTGGGGCCTCCATTACTCAGCAGGACTGTTTGCTCCGGAACATTGGCCAAGGCCAAGGAGCAGGAACCACTGAGAGGAAAATAAAGACCCTCCCAGGCGAAAACTCTCCTGTTAACCCTCTCATTAAACGCAAGTTAATGACTGGGATGGGGGGAGGGGGCATGCACACAGATTTGAGACTGCAGGGCTCTCCCTGCCCTGAGAGTGCCCTGGGGTCCATCCCCAGCAGTGTCACACACCCAAACACACACACACACACGCACACACACACACACACACACACACATGCA